TCACTGCAGATCATAGCTGACCCATTTTTCCTTGGACAGTCTCTGCCCTGCCTTAGCAAAGCTGTTCTGATTCAGGGTGTTCTATGTTTTATTACCAGGAAACGCCCAGAGGTTGTGACAGTGACCAGCTGGAAAGCGCCAGTTGTGTGGGAAGGCACTTACAACAAAGCCATCCTAGAAAATTATTACGCCAAACAGAAAATTACTGTGGGCTTGACAGTTTTTGCTGTCGGAAGGTAGGTGTCACTGATAAAATTGTCCTTGACTTTTTCTTGTTCTACTGTCAAAATGTTTGAGGGAACCCCGGGACTCATGGAGGCTTGTCTGAGTTATTAGATAGGAGACTGTTTAAGGGGGAACATTTCAGTCTCCTTTTGGCAGAAGCCCCAAAAGCCTGGGAGCAAAACAGTAGTAGGTGAGTCTACCCGTTCCCACCTCAGAGGGATGGTCTCCAGCTACAGGCAAAAATGTCCACTATATCCACCGAGGTCAGAGTCAACAGCGTACCCACAACCACCCACTTCCTGAGCTCCCTGGCTTCCTCTGGAAATTCTACAAGTGCCAGCTACTAGACAGCCCAGAGTGCATCATTCTTTCTGCTACGCTCTCAAGGCTCAGGACCAAGGACAGAAGGATTTACTGCAAGTCCTAGGTACAGAGTGCCCTAAGCACCGTGGTTTTCCATGTTGGAACACAGACGACCACTCTTCCGTGGGTTCTTCAGGTCACTCCTACCTTATCCCTCCTGGAGGATTTGGCCCTGGGCTATTTGGCTGGTCAGAACTTCCTCTTCCGAAGGTTGGAGAGGTTCCAGTTTCAGCTTCCATTTCCTTTTTCAGAACATTTGTTAAAAAAAAAAAAAAAACCTGCAGTCATTCTTACTTGAAAGTTCTAGCTGTAATATTAGTTGTTAAATAGAACCCATTTTGCTTTTTTGGAGAATTTTTCAATTTTTTTTTTTTTCCCAAAAACAAAACCGAAAAATTCAGTTTTCCTATTTTTTTTTTTTTCCTGTCCTCTGGGCCTTTCTACCTGTACCTCTTTTGAAAAAGCCACATGGAAAGTTGATTCCCTTGCCTTATACAAAGAGTTGAAGGCTCCCGTTGATCTGAGCTTGAGCTTTGTCAAGATAGGACCTAAAAGAGAGCTCTGTGAAGATCTGAAGTTCTCCAAAGATAACCTTCCCCAACCCAGAGCCCAGGAGTCATCACCCGTGCTGTTAACAACATTAATCAAGTTCTGACATCACTGAATGTGCTGATCCCAGGGGCCTACGTGGCATCTCTAATAGTGAAGGGTGACTGTGGAGTTTTCACATTTTTACTAGAAGAATCTGCACTGTATGGGTTGGGAGCCAATGCTCTGCTCACCTAATCCTTTGGTACAAAAGGGGATAAGCCAGCCACGTTGCAGATTGATTTGATCCTGGTGTTTCCAAAAAGAACAGAATGTTGCCCACTGCCCCACAACAGCTTCAACCATCCAGTTGCAACTCTGCAGAACTAAACTGTAAATTGCCCATCCTGGTGAAAGGGCTGTGCCCTGTGCCCTCAGCTCTGAGGCAAGAGAGGACTGTTTGTACTCAGCAGCAGTAAATCCCTACAAGTGGATTTGGACTTTTAGGAGGTGTGATGTTTGCTTTGTTCTCAAGCAACAATGCATGGAGCCAACTACAGTGCTTTAATCTCCAAACAATGTTAAACCTCAGAGTGACTCTCCTCAGCACCCCCACCCACCCCAGCATTGTTTCCCAAGCTTCAGGGCACAACAGGTTTTTCTTAAACTTCCAGAGTACCAAAGGATGTTCTGACCACCAGCTATAGTCATATCCAAGTCCCTCTTTATATTGTTCAGATACATTCTCTCCTCTTAAAGAATCAACACTGTAAACCCTTGGCTTTCCAGATGCCAATATTATAATAAAAGCGCACTTTATTTTCGTAGCAAAGAAAAGGAATCCAAGCATCAACAAAAAGTAAAAAGTACCAGTCATTATCACTCACAAAACATCCTGATTGACCAGTACTGTGGTCAGCAAATTAAATTTAGTCCAAAACAAGAGTTTTGGGTTTGGATGAGCTGTATTAAGCCATCTGACTTCTTCCTCTTCCCTATAATCTCCATAGTATGGCTTCACAAGACAGTCTGTGATTTGGACTTGCAGAAGAAGAGACATCGATATAATGCTTTTCAGATGAATAGATAAATAGTTAAAATACTACTCCACACCTATTAGAATGGCCAAAATTCAGAACACTGACAACAGCAAACGCTGGCAAGGATGTGGAGCAACAGGAACCCTTATTCATTGCTGGTGGGAATGCAAAATGGTAACAGCCACTTTGCATTTTCTTACAAAACAGCCAATTTGACAGTTTCTTTTTGTTGTTGTTTTTTATTTTTACTTCAGGATATTATGAGGGTACGAACCTTTTGGTTACATTTTATGTCTTTGCCTCACCCAAGCGAGGATTAGCGGCATGCCCTTCCCCTCTGCAATGCTCCCCGCGTCCCGATTTGACAGTTTCTTACAAAACTAAACATATTCTTACCACACGATCCAGCGATCGTGCTCCTTGGTATTTACCCAAATGAGATAAAAATTGATCTCCACACAAAAATCTGCACATAAATGTTTATAGAAGCATTATTTATAATTGCCAACACTTAGAAGCAACCAAGATGTCCTTCAGTAGGTGAATGAAAAAGTAAACTGTGGTACATTCAGACAATGGAATATTATTCAGTGCTAAAAAGAAAGGAGCTATCAAGCCATGAAAAGACATGGAGAAATCTCAAATGCACGTGATTAAGTAAAAGAAGCCAAATTGAAAATGCTACATACTTTATGCTTCTAACCATATGACATTCTAGAAAAGGCAAAACTATGGAGATAGTAAAAGATCAGTGGTTGTGAGGGGTTTTTGGGGGGAAGAAGGGATGAATAAGTAGAGCACAGAGATTTTTAGGGCATTGAAACTATTCTATAGATACTATATGGTAGATACATGCCATTATACATTTATCAAAACCCATAAAATGTACACCACCAAGAGTGAACCCTAATGTAAACTATGGACTTTGGCTGACAGTGAGATATCAATGTAGGTTCATCACCTGTAACAAACGTACCACTCTGGTGTAGATGTTGATGGCAGGGGACGGGGGGCTGTACAAGTATGGGGGCAGGAAGTATATGGGAACTCTCTGAACTTGTGGCTCAATTTTTCTATGAACCTAAAACTTCTCTTAGAAAAAGTCTTTACAACAAAGAAAAAAGTTAAAATAAGGTTAAATCAAAGGTTGTTTTCTCTAGTATTTGCATGGATTTTATAATGATGGTATGTAGACAATGGATTGGTGTTTTAGGTGACCATTGGGAAGCTGAAAGGATGACTATGTAACATGAAAGGAGATTCATGTCCCATAACCCATTCTCTGTATCACAGAGGAGGGTAAGAGAATGCTGCTGTTTGGGGTTAGTGCATCCCCAGTGGACCCAAGGGTCACATCCTCCTTGTGTCTGGTCTGGCAGCAGCAACAGTGCTGCTATATTGGGGTTTTTGAGGGAGGCTCAAGAATTAGCACCTGCTTTGACTGTCCAGAGTCTGAACCAATTGATAAATAAGACAAAGGGGTAAGTAAGGCAGATGGTAATAAATACTGCCTTCGTTACAGTGAAAGCTGGTAGAGAACATACCTTACATCTGCAGGCCCTGGGCCTCCTAAATACTGAACCACAGAATTAGAAAGGCTTAGGCACCCAGGTACCTGCAACATTAGAACTACAGGTCTTTGGATGTGGGAAGAGAGCTTGTACCACTAGGCTTCCTGCAAGGCCCAAAGCAGTTAAGAACACATACTCTCTTGGACTGGCTGGCATCCAAGAGCAAGAGAATAGGAGGGACAGGGCTATGTCCAGCTGCTGTTCCAAAATTGGCAGTCAGATAAGACATTCCACCTCCACCAGGAATGAGTGACTGAATGGTGAAGAGAAGCCCAGAGTGTTACACTAACAGATGTCCCTCCACATGAAAACACACATCTGGGATAGGAAGACATTGTCCCCCTCCTAACTGTAAAATACAGACAAGATGATTACGATAGCATGTGGTCTCCCACAGGAATCCCAGAAGTTAAATGTTTCCCTTTCTTCTTTGTTTCAGATACATTGAGCATTACTTGGAGGAGTTCATAACATCTGCTAATAGGTACTTCATGATTGGCCACAAGGTCATATTTTACATCATGCTGGATGACATCTCCAAGATGCCTTTGATAGAGCTGGGTCCTCTGCGTTCCTTCAAAGTGTTTGAGATCAAGCCTGAGAGGAGGTGGCAGGACATCAGTATGATGCGCATGAAGACCATTGGGGAGCACATTTTGGCCCACATCCAGCATGAGGTTGATTTCCTCTTCTGCATGGACGTGGACCAGGTCTTCCAAGACAATTTTGGGGTAGAGACCCTGGGCCAGTCAGTGGCTCAGCTACAGGCCTGGTGGTACAAGGCAGATCCTGATGAGTTTACCTACGAGAGGCGTAAAGAGTCAGCAGCATACATTCCATTCGGAGAGGGGGATTTTTATTACCATGCAGCCATTTTTGGAGGAACGCCCATTCAGGTTCTCAACATCACTCGGGAGTGCTTTAAGGGGATCCTCCAGGACAAGAAAAATGACATAGAAGCTCAGTGGCATGATGAAAGCCACCTAAATAAGTATTTCCTTCTCAACAAACCCTCTAAAATCTTATCCCCAGAATACTGCTGGGATTATCACATAGGCCTGCCTTCAGATATTAAAATTGTCAAGATATCTTGGCAGACAAAAGAATATAATTTGGTTAGAAATAATGTTTGACTTCAAATTGTGCCAGTAGATTTCTGAATTTGAGAGAGTATTATTCTGGCTACTTTCTCAGAAAAGTAACACTTAATTTTAACTTTAAAAAGATACTAACAAAACCAAGATGACAAACACATACTATTCCTCCTTATAACTTTGAGCCTTGTAATATGGGAGAATGAATTTATGGCAATCAGATGTAAATTCCCAGTGATTTCTGATCTATTCTGGGTTTAGGGGAAATACTATCGGCTGAATCAAAAAGAACTTGGCACAGGCAAAGAAAATGCCAGAAAAATTCTATATTTGCCAGATAATGTGCTGGAGAAAAGGGTGCTAAGGGAAGTGTGTGGCAAAAAGATATGGTTTGGGGGAGTTGTCCCCTTGATTTCAGTGTCTTCCCATTTTTGATGGGTCTAAAGCAACATGAAATTGCTTTGCAGCAGGAGAACCCTCAGTAAGGACACCATTTACCTTGGCCATCCTCAAAAGGCTTCAACAGCATACTGCTTCAGGCCGTTTGTCGTCTATGTCCTTTTCTTATCAGGATGTTGTTTGGCTTATGTATGAAAGATTGGTGGCAGTTCCCAGTAGATATCATGGTGGCGCATGGTCAGAGCCCCAGGGAACCCAAAGAAGCCAGTGGGTGCTCAGTGTGAAGGGAAAACAAAGGATCAATGTGAGTTTGCCATCAAACAGCAAAGAGAGAGTAGAAGAAAGGGGCTGATCACTGTGGGGCAGTGCCGGTGCCACCCTGGAGGGACACTGGGCATGGGGTCAGTGCTTAAATACATCATGGACACAGGCACTGAATAGGAGGCAGTGTGGAGCAGGGACTTGAATGGAAGATGCTTCATGTTTTGTCCAAGCCTATTCAGTCTATCAGACTCTGCAACTTGTATCTTCAGTCCTTGGTGAGGAGATGTAGATGATGTGAGAGAAGGCAAAGGCCTGAAGTGGATTGGAAAGGCTTGCAAGGATTTCTGTTGCCAGGACCCGGGCCTCATCAGAGGACAATCAGTCATCTGACAGTTCCACCATTTAGCTAGTCTAAACCTCAGGGTTCCTCAGCACATCATGTGCCCACTAGGAGGGCTGACATCAACGAGTGGACTGGAGAAAAAGCCCTCCTGTCAAGCAACCTCTCGTTTTCCCCTGCTCCGTCTGCACTATGGAAGTGTAACAATCAGATGTACTTGACAAAATGGTTAATTGATTTTATAACAGAAGCATGAGGGATAGCAATGGGGGATCTAATCAGGACTGAAGAGCTTAACATTCAATTCCCTTCTCTAAGAGAAGCTATGGAATCCTACATATTATTTAAGGCAAATCAGGAGGGAAAATTTACATATGTACAAATATTTATATTTTGTGTTCCAGTTTAGGTCATTTGTTTCCATTTTCAAGCAACTTATTTGAAAAACCATTACATGAGCTTGATGTACAGTGCAATGGGCTTCTTTGATAAAATGAAACTTGCATTTTTCTCTACCATTTCACCGTGCCTCCTACTCTTCGATTCTTACCAAAAAATCTCACATCCAACAAAACAAACAAAAATCTTAAGTTATTCGGCTTTGAAAAAGAAAAAGTAGCCCACACATCAGTTAAGAATCTTGCTTCCGTATTACTCAAATTGTTTTTGATCCAGTTTGGAGTAGGGAGAGTTTAATGATTTAAGTCCTGAACCAAAGAAATGATCTATCCTAAAGTTTAGAGAAAAGAGCTGATGTTTACTTTTGAGGAAATTTCTTGATTTTTCAAATTCATTTAAATTTAAATCCCCGATGGACAAATTTAAGATATCATATATGGTTAAACTTTTTTTTAAAATAAAATTCCTGATTTACAAATTAAATAAATTATTTTCTCAATATGTTTGGGTCTGGTCATGGATTGTACATTTTCTCCTAAAGATGTTCAAAATTATCAATTATAGAATTTTAAGTTTTTAGACTCAGAAGAGTTCTCATGCTCTTCTGAAAATGTGTCCACTGTTACAAAGATAGAACGGGCTTGAGAGTCTCAAACTTTTAAGTAACAAATGCTTCACATAGAGCTTTCCAAAGCAATGCACTGAAATAATTAACTTCCAGTAGAAGAATCATTAGGGGAAAAGGCTTACCCCTGAAGCCCAGGGTGAGCCACCAGGGCAGAGGAAAAAAATACTATAACCATATCTGGTGGTTATTGGTCCTGAACTCTGGGGAATATATCTGGCCAACGGGAAAGTCTAGATTTCTAGTAGGTGTATTTATAACATAAAAATTAAAAGGAGACCAGGTTGATCTAGTGAGATGCACTGAATATATAACAGGACACGATTCCCTCATAGTAGAGAATTACTCCCATTTTATAAGTGAGGAAAGTGAGGTTCAGAAAGGTTCAACCACCCAGTTGGTAAGTGGCTGAGCCGAGGCTCAAACCAGAGAAGCTCCCAAGGACAGATACGTTAACACAGTACATATGGAGGGCCATGTTTCATATCAGGGAGAGTGCAACTAGATATCTTTCCAGGCCTGTATCATCTCCCACTTTTTATGCATCATACTTGCCCCCAAAGCACTAAATAAGTTAAAACGCATCATATAAAAAATAAAAGACTAGGTTATCATTCCTTACATTGTGCATGGAAGGCTGATGCAAGCACCATGGGCGTGCACTGAGTTGTTGCCCTACAGAAGATGTGATCAGGCAGAAGGGGTGGCTGGAAGGGACTGCCATGCCTCTTCCTTCCATTCCACTTCAATCTGGGAACCACAAGCAGCTGGAAGGGGAAAAATTTGTTCAAGGCTGAAGGATTTCTCTTTGTCCTTCTTTGATCTCTCCTAGCCAAAGTTACTACCATGTAGGAACCTCAGCTATGGCAGTACTTATAATTACAAGTATTATTTATTAAATGTGCCTTACGTAAATGAATAATAGGTATGATAGCATACTCACAAACATGAAAAGTCATAGAGGCTGGATGCAGTGGTTCATGCCTATAATCCCAGCACTTTGAGAGGCCAAAGTGGGAGGATTGCTTGAGACCAGGAGTTTGAGACCAGCCTGGGTATCATAGCAAGACCCAATCGCTACAAAAAAATTTAGAAATTAGCCAGGTGATTGCTTGAGCCCAGGAATTTGAGGTTACAGTGAGCTACGATTGGGCTACTGCAGTCTAGCCTGGGCGACAGAGCAAGACCCTGTGTAATAAAAAAAGAAAGAAAGAAAAGTGGTAGAGTGAATATACAACATACTATGCACACATTTTAAAGAGAGAAGAGGGTCAAGTGGGGATCCACTGGTCAAAGTCTCAGATCTGAAAGGGTGCAGAGCCAGGATTTAAACACAGGATTGTCTGACTAAATCCTGTGCTCTTTCCACCTCTCCAGACTGCCTCTCTCACTCTTTTCTACACACACACACACACACACACACACACACATATATAGATGCACACACTTTAACCATCTCGTTTTTGAATAAAGGGATCACCATCAAAGCTCTCAATTCCTTTGTTAGGCATTAAAGAGAGGGAATTTAGTAGACTAAAAACTCTTCAAAGGTAAAATGTAGGTCTAAAGTTGGAGAAGCAAGAGCATGAAACCTGAGCAGGTATGAGGTACTGGTAAGTACAAAGGCTAAGGGAGTATGGAGGAAGGAAGGATGTCTGAGGAGGTAGAAGTAGCCACAGAGGGGCTGGCTCTGAACTGAGCTTTGAAAGAAGAGAAGGGATCACTGTGAAGAGTGGATGGAATGAGGTTTCCGAGGGGGAAGCAGCAGCTGTTGAAGCCCAGAGCACTGCAATAAGACTTTCACGGAAACCCACAAAAATGGTGCTGAGGCTTTAAGGCTGGATGAAATCACCTGGCACAGCCTGCGTGAAAAGAAGCAAAGACCACACGAGGGCCTTGGCTGGTTGACCACCCCACATTCACCCAGTACTGTGGCTCTCTCTCCCTTCCCAACAATCCCTGGTTTCCTTTGGCAAGCTATGTAATTTCCATGGAAACTGGTGCCATGGTCAGAGCAGGTGCTCTAAGCTAAGCCAATCAGCACTTCTCATCCCCCTGGTGGCAATGATTGATTCAGGGGTGGGCAGGTGATCTAGTCCAAACAAAGTAAATTTCAGGTCTTTTAGTAGAAATGAGGAAGCATATATTACTGGGGGCTGCTAGACAACAGAAGTCTGTCTGCCTTAGGATGAAATTGACAACCGGAAAGGAAGAGCAGGCACACCGGAGGAAACCAAGTCCCTGGTGACAACTTTGAGCCACTCGATCCAGCCTTACCTGGTCTGCACTGCCTGTGGGCTTTTCAGCTGTGTAAGCCCCAAGTCCCAGTATAGTTCAAACCAGCTGGAATTGGGCTTTTTCCTACTTGTAACTGAAAATATCCCCATTGAACCCCTCTAGGATTGCTCGCTCCTGAAAGGCAGGACCATAATCTGCCTTTGCATCAGCTCCAGCACCTACCACATTACCTATCTCAGAGGCACTGCTTAACAAATACTGAATGAATGAATGAATGCACGCATCAACATCCACTCCCATCATGCCTCATAAGAAATAATTTTCTTTAATTTAAAAAAATTGATTGTGAACTGTGTGTTTATTAAAAAGCTGATGTTTCAATATCTGGCACCTGGAACTTTTCCTCCTGTAGTACACAGAATGGGAACTCAGGAGTCGTAGCCTAGGCTTCAGGCTTAGGTTCTCATTCGGTGTGCCATAACGTATTAAGTTCAGTGCTGCTTCAAGGTCAGTGATGCATGGAATAAATTTGCTTCATGAGCATAGAGCAGTGGTTCTCAGCCTGGGAATTGCTTCCCTCCTCTCTCCTCAGGGACATTTGGCTATGGCAATGTCTGGAGACATTTTTGGTTGTCACAACTGGTGGAATGGTGTTATAAACATCTACTGGGTAGATGCCAGGTATGCTGCAAAACATCCTGCAATGCACAGGACAGCCCCCCACAACAATTATCTTGTTCAAAATGTCATTAGTATTGGGGTTGAGAAACCCCACTGTAAAGTCCTCCTGGACTTCATCGAGAAAGAAACATTGGGAACCAATATGCTTAATACCTGCCTGTCTATACCCTGGGAACAGTCCCTTGTCAGGTGTCAAAAGCCTCTAACTCTGCGCTTCCCAACCCCCGGGCAAACCCAGCCTCGGCCCAGTACCAGTCCGTGGCCTGTTAGGAACCAGGTGGCACATCACCGCCTGAGCTCTGCCTCCCTGCCCCTTCCCCTCCCAGTCCCTGGTGCCAAAAAGGTTGGGGACCGCTGCGTAACTCCCCTCCTTGTCCTCCATTAACATTCACAGCTAACACTAAAGTAGTTCCCAATACTGGACACCAGAGGGCAGGAATTTCCAAAGATAACCCTGTTATCCTAAGCAACTGCAGTGATTTAAAACATCTTTTTCGGGTACTAGTGAAGACTATGCCCATTTGTAGAATTAGATATTAATTTTGCATATAAGGGAAAATGGCTATAAATATTTAAAAGGTGTAGCTGTGAAAAATCAGCCAAAATTAGAACATACTTCTAGTGAATTGGCTGTAATTGTTCACAGTAAGAAGTTGTTAGGTGTTTTAGTTAAAGATATTTTGGTTGTAAGGAGCTGTCTAAACCCCAAAAGGAGTTTATTGGTAGGCTGCTGAAGAGTTTCACTGAATATAAGGCAGAGTTGACAAGCAGGCAGTGGCATGCTGAAGCCAGCTCCTACTGGCTTGTCAGAACTTACAAGCAGTATTTCCCAACTCCCTGTTCCATGACATAATTGTAGTAGCCTGAAACAGACCATAGTGGGGGTATTTACACCAGAATCAGCAAATGCTGGAAACACTAGGGCTCTTTTTCTTTTCCTTTCTTTCTTTCTTTTTTTTTTTTTTTTAAGAGTCAGTTGTTAAAAATGTACCAGCATATCACTACAACCATGCCATGAGCAAGAACCAGGGAAGCTCAGGGCCTCAACAGCTGAAGATTATGAATTCCTCCTAGAAGTCTGCCATTAATATGACCCATCTCCAACTATCTCCAGTCTCAGGGTTTCTTCCTTCAAAACTCTAAATTCCTAGAAAAGGACACCCAAATGGCACAGCACCACTCCTGCTCTCAGCAGCTGTGCCTTAGCGTAGATTTACTGGAGGGTGATTACACTATGGGGAAGTTCTCAGAGGAGGATATAGCCTGTGAGCTGGGTATTTACACTCTAAAAGTGTCTACCACTTTCCACTTATGGCTGTCTGGCTGCCAATCACTTCTTCCCATCTATCTAAAATACTCCCATGATCCAAAATGTCATATACTACTCCAGCACAGCCCCCTCTCCTAGTAGCAGACCACAGAATCCACAGGTAGTATCATAGGGCTAGGCTTCTTAGAATCCACTTCTCCAGATATTAACCATTTCTCCTTTGGCCCCTTAGACAGCTCATCTGACTGTTCTGCAATCTGTGAAATAAATGGTGAATTTCGCACACACCCAAACACACTACAGTCAATACTGAAAGACAAAGAAGAAAGAGGGGAAAAAATTACAGTAACTGCTATTTAAAAGAGGGAAATAATAGTTACCTGCTC